CTATCAGGTCTGTGCAGTGTCATATGACACCTATGTACCAAGTTTTATTGAAATGTTATGATTAGTACTTGAGATATCAGTGGAAAAGCCGAAAATTGATTAATCATTATGTAAATTAGGTAATTAATAATATTAACAGATTTTTACCCAAAACTAATCAAATCTGCGCATTAGTTCAGAGCATCCATGTGCCAAGTTTCATTGAAATCCAATGAGTGGTTCTCCAAAAATCAGTGGAACAGTCATAGAACAGCTAAAAATCAGCTAAGTATCATGCAAATTAGGTAATTAATATTCATAGATTTTTACCAAAACCTAATCAACTCTGCGCATTATCCCAGAGCATCTATGTACCAAGTTTCACCAAAATTTGATTAGTGGTTCTTGAGATAACGGTGGAACAAAAAAAGTGACATACATACATACATACATACAGACAGACATACAGACAGGGTAACTGCAAAGACTCCCTTTTGTGCTTCGCACACGGGAGTCAAAAAGTTTTGTTGGGAGATGTATTTGGCCAAAATATGTTTAGATTGTACCAAAAAAATACTCCGGTGAGCGGGAATGCCAAATTGAGTCTTCATTGGTCACTAAAATTGTTTAGAAAACTGTTAGGGATGTAACAGGCTAGGGGTGTGGCAGAGATGCATATGGCAAGTATTTTATGTTGTGGCTGCAGTAAATAAGTGCTGCTAAGTCAATCGAACATTTCCCTTCAATACTTTGCATTCATTTTAGATAGATTTTATTGCATTCAAAGAGAGCTGTGTGTTTGCATGTTACAGTATTCATGGTGACAAAAATTGCCGCATTCCTGCGCCTCGTTCGACATTGGTCCCATGTGTGACATACATGTATACAACGCATGCATAATATATGCAATAAATACCTGTTATGATGATTGATTTCGGTCTCTGACTCAACCTCTTTCTCATGATGCTCATAACATTCTGTATTAGGTAAGAGAATAAAATATTAAACCCAAAGTTCACAAAATCTACAGCCCAGATTTCGGTCTCTGGCTCAACCTCTTTCTCATGATGCTCATAACATTCTGTATCAGGTAAGAGAATAAAATATTAAACCCAAAAATCACAAAATCCACAGCCCAGATTTCCATGAGGAAGATATTCCGGATTGTAGATATTATTTGCAGGTTATTTACAACTGTTGTATTTGAGGAGCATCAAAATGTATCCACAATCACCTCTCAGGGCTTCTTCTTGACTATGCAATGGACTTAATCGATCTAATTTTCATCACAAATTAGTCCCATTTATAGTGAGCACTTTCTTTTAGACAAAAATAGGCAAATTTTTGAGTAAAAACTGAAAATCAACTAAATTTTAGTCTGTTGGCTCTAAAATTAGGGTTCATTTCCAGAAATATTGAAGAATATATGAAAATTAATCTAGACAAATCTGGGCAAGTAAGTGAAAAGGTTGAACATAATAAGTGTGATAAACATTGAGTTAAGAAAACCATGTCATCAGTTCAAAGAACACCATGTCATCAGTTCAAAAAACACAATGTCGTCAGTTCAAAGAACACAATGTCGTCAGTTCAAAGAACACCATGTCGTCAGTTCAAAGAACACCATGTCCTCAGTTCAAAGAACACCATGTCCTCAGTTCAAAGAACACCATGTCCTCAGTTCAAAGATAAATGTATATAGATAGAATTAACTGTTTCTCACTTCAATACCGGGTTCTTTAAGTGGACTTGAGACCACATCATTTTCTTCATTCTCTTCATCATCTTTCTTCTCAACACTGTCTTCCTTCTCTTCATCTTCAACTTCCTTCTCTTCATCGTCAACTTCCTCTTCTTCATCTTCAACTTCCTTTTCTTCATCTTCCTTTTTCTGCTCTTGATCTCTTTTTATTTTCTCTTGCTGACTTATTTCTGACAAATGCATATTCTGTTTTGAGATCAAATATAAAACATCTGTGTATTTAACATATTTCAATAAATAGTTTGGTTTCAACCATAGCAATAAAAATGGTATACATTTCATGGTATGTTTCTCATGGTATATTTATTTCTCAGGACAAATTTCTCATGGTATATTTACTTCTCATGGTATATTTACTTCTCATGGTATATTTCTCATGCTATATTTATTTCTCAGTACATATTTCCCATGGTATATTTACTTTTCATGGTACATGTATATTTCTCATGCTATATTTACTTTTCATGGTATATTTCTCATGGTATATTTACTTTTCATGGTACATGTATATTTCTCATGCTATATTTATTTCTCAGGACATATTTCCCATGGTATATTTACTTTTTATGGTACATGTATATTTCTCATGCTATATTTACTTTTCATGGTATATTTCTCATGGTATATTTACTTTTCATGGTACATGTATATTTCTCATGCTATATTTATTTCTCAGGACATATTTCCCATGGTATATTTACTTTTTATGGTACATGTATATTTCTCATGCTATATTTATTTCTCAGCACATATTTCCCATGGTATATTTACTTTTCATGGTACATGTATATTTCTCAGGACATATTTCCCATGCTATATTTATTTTTCATGGTACATGTATATTTCTCATGCTATATTTATTTCTCAGGACATATTTCTCATGCTATATTTATTTCTCATGATATATTTCTTATGGTATATTACCTGGTACACAAGGTATACATGTCCCATGGTACATCAATCATGGTATATTTGATAATAGTATAAAGTATAACAAGAGTTGTCATACAAACCCTAACACTTACAAGTTGTCTTCTAGACTTGGCCAGGGAATCCAGTATATCATCAATGATTTTGTTGCATATTGCAGTTGCTGCTGACAGATGTAATTCACTGTAAACAAACATATTTATCAAATTCATCAGAATCAATATCATTACATCAGAATCATTATCAATACATCAGAATCAATATCATTACATCAGAATCAATATCAATACATCAGAATCAATATCATTACATCAGAATCAATATCATTACATCAGAATCAATATCAATACATCAGAATCAATATCATTACATCAGAATCAATATCAATACATCAGAATCAATATCATTACATCAGAATCAATATCATTACATCAGAATCAATATCAATACATCAGAATCAATATCATTACATCAGAATCAATATCAATACATCAGAATCAATATCATTACATCAGAATCAATATCATTACATCAGAATCAATATCAATACATCAGAATCAATATCATTACATCAGAATCAATATCAATACATCAGAATCATTACATTATCCATCAAAAAGATTGACAACACTATATGCTGCTCATAATGTATGAAGTAAAATTTATGTGAACTCCAATGTGTTAACCATACATTGTAGAAGTGTTTAAAGTTTCATTCACACTTTGCTAATTGTGTGGTACCAATCCCTTGACCAACATATACACTATATACAATTTTGAGATTGAGAATTGGTAATGAGAAACATGTATGTTTGTCCAAGGTAAGAGAACACCCAGAACCCTCGAAATTGAAAATGTGGAGCTGTCAGAACTGAATATCTACTTTTAGTAAAAACAACATAATTTGCAAACTTTTTTCTATAGGAAAAGCTGAAAACACTCAAGGTAAGGTTTTTGAGAAAAACATGCAAACTAGCGAGAACATAGATCACATATAAAAACTTCTGATTTGTTGCAACATTGTCAACTTTTGACAGTCTGCTCTTTCTCGCATTAAATGTTGATATAAGTTGAAAAATCTCTTGATCAAAAACTAAAAGCAATATCTGAAACTCTCTGTATGGTCCAAAATGATGATAAAATTTAGTGACAATTTTACAAAATGTGAAAATATTTGCACTGAAAATAATAAGCAATAATATGCCACTCAAAATGTTGAATAACTGCAATATCTTCGCATTTAACTAAGATAGTGCCTTAATCACCTTGCTTTGTTGGCTATAGCTGATCCAGCTTGTTTTTCCATCCATTCTTGTACATAGTTTTCTGAAAGTTGACTTTTATGTTTGGCTGTTTCCAAGATATCTTTTTTCAGATGTTCTTGCATAACAGCTGGGCATAACGTCTCTCCACACGTCACCATTTCGTTCACGGATTTCTATTATGAATGAGCAGAAGATGATGATTTTCTGACACGTGGTATTAATAAAATACATGGTTGCTATGGACTGAAAAGTTTCATACTACATGTACCTAAAATGGGAAAGCTGTTTTTGTGGTATATAGTTATTTATGGTTGCTAAGGATATGCCCACAAGAATAGAGTCACTAAAATAAAATGTTCTTAGTCTGAGCCATGATGGTCAAAATATTAGTATATATTAGCTGTAGATGGGTTACTAGGGGCATGGCCATGATTGTTAGCAGTCAAAAATGACTTTTCACACTCAGTACCTACAATGTTGTTATTCCTCTTTAATAAAAGATTGCTTTGCAAGAAAATGCCCACAAGAAAGCAGGTTGCTAGGAAATTGTTTCAAATGCATTCTGGGAAATGATGTTATATCTAAAGTAGCAATACATTTGAGCGAATGGGAATCATCGATACATAAATTATCTTCTAAATGCATTCTGGGAAATGAAGTTATATCTAAAGTAGTAATACATTTGAGCGAATAAGATTCATCGATACGTATCTTATCTTTTAAATGCATTCTGGGAAATGAAGTTATATCTAAAGTAGTAATACATTTGAGCGAATAAGAATCATCGATACATATCTTACCTCAAGCTGTTCATGTACAGTGCTTGTGATTATTTCAGTCATCTCTTGTATTTTAGCCAGTATAACAGCTTTGCTGGTTTCCTTGGCTTTCTGGTACATTTTATCCAATAACTGTTGAGGATAAAATCAGTGGAACGGTCATAGAACAGCTAAAAATCAGCTAAGTATCATGCAAATTAGGTAATTAATATTCATAGATTTTTACCAAAACCTAATCAATAAATACTGAACTAGCAAAAAAGAAATTATCTTAAATACTGCATTTAATTTTGCTCTTAAGTGAAATCTGTTAATTAAATTATCATGATCATCAACCAGATTTCTTGTTGAATCACAATGTTTATTTCAGACATCTTGTTAGTATGGAGGGAATTTTGAACTGTTTTAGCATACATAGACATGCCCTATGAAAACTATTGAAAACACCAGTTTTTAACCCATTCAGTCATGCAAATGACTACAATCAGTTGTCAGTAGCATGTCAGTAGTTACAGCTAGCAGAGAAGGAAGATAAAAAACAAGCAGTCTATCGGCTGAGGTAGCTCCGCTGTTAGCAAAGCACATTTCAATTAAAGAACTGAAGACATTATTAGAAAATGAACAATATGTATAGTATCAAAGCAATCGGACCAACAGTTTTTAACAAGAAGTCGAAAATATCACTTTCTACCAAAAACGACAAAAATATTCATCAAAATTAGAGAATTGAAGATATCGTCACGAAATGAACAAATCTGAGAAGGGTCTACATGTAGTATCTATATACGTAATATCAAAGCAATTGAACTTTTGGTTTTTAACAAGAAGTCGAAAATATCACTTTTTACTAAAAATAAGAAAAATATTCACCAAAATTAGAGATTTGAAGATATCACACAAAATGAATAAATCTGAGAGAGGTCCACATGTAGTACCTATATATGTAATATCAAAGCAATCGGACTTGCTGTTTTTAACAAGAAGTCGAAAATATCACTTTTTACCAAAAATGACATAAATATTCACTAAAATTAGAGAATTGAAAATATCATCATGAAATGAACAAATCTGAGAATGGTCTACATGTAGCATCTATATATGTAATATCAAAACAATTGAACTATTGGTTTTTAACAAGAAGTTGAAAATATCACTTTTTACCAAAATTACAAAAATATTCACCAAAATTAGAGAATTGAAGATATCATCACAAAATGAACAAATCTGAGAGAGGTCCACATGTAGTACCTATATATGTAGTATCAAAGCAATTGCACTTGCGTTTTTTAACAAGAAGTCGAAAATATCACTTTTTACCAAAAATGACAAAAATATTCATCAAAATTAGAGAATTGAAGATATCAACATGAAATGAACAAACCTAAGAGAGGTCTACCCAAGGTACATATACACCAAGTATCAAAGCATTCAGGCTCGTAGTTTTCAAGAAGAAGTCGAAAAAGTAAAACATTGACATGGACGACGACGGACAATCACTCATATGATAAGCTCCGCTCGACAAAGTCGACAGCGGAGCTAAAAGCAGGTAATTGATGATTGACATTTAAAAAGATTTATTACATTTTTACTGATAAAACCATTAAACCATTCATTCAGTTTGGGATTTGTTATGAAAACAATTTTAATACCTGCTTAGACCGAGCTGCATCCTCCAAATATTTCTGTGCAATAGCAATATCTGATTTGATATTTTCATCTTCTGTGTCTCCAAGATGATCAATTGCTTGTTCCACACCTTTTGAGAGTTTCATAACCACCTAGACAATGATGTAGAATACAACAGATTGCTGTAAATCTATTTTCTATCACCAGAGATAAATTTCAGCAATCCTCAGAAGTTGAGAGAAAATATCATGAAAAATATTAAAAATGTTAAAAAGTGCATCTCCAATAGAAACCACATATCAAATTTGTTGCATACTGATCCATTAAAATATGACTTATTTGGACTGTAGGACTACTTCAGTCTGTAATTTATGTAATTGTGTGTGCTTCTACATATACCAATAAAAGTACCAGAATGTATGAACTTTAGAGGTCATAAAATTACCAGGATGTATAACCTTTAGAGTTCATGAAAGTACCAGGATGTATAACCTTTAGAGGTCATGAAAGTGACCAATTGTAAACCCACAGAAAAGGAAGTACCGGTACCCACAAGTAAAGGAAGGATTGCATAATTTAAGCATCAGTCAGAAACGACATGATTCGTAAATTATATTAATTTTCTAGAAAGGTCAAAGATGATTCAAAAAAATTAAAAAAAAACAGCAAAATTGGTTTGAAAGTCTAGTTTTGTTGAAGGTGCCAAATTGTGATCCCCTCGATCTATGACAAACCTACCTGCTGGGATGCAGATACATCAAATCTCTTTCCCAATATGTATATTTTATCGGTGACTTGTGACTGAGACTCTGACATGCTATTGTTTCTCTTTAACAATTCTTCAATTCTTAACATGGCTACTTCGGTTTTCTCTGCATTTGCCCTCAAAGCGTTTCCGGCATCACTGATAGGAATTTGCATACTCTGTACTGTAATATTGCTGGAAAACAAACGCAAGAATGGCAAAATGAAAAAATATTTGAAGTACTAAATGTAAACAAACTTCAAACGGTGTTTTTGTTCAAACAGAGTAATTGTTCACAACAACAACCCTCACTATCATCTGAACCAGGAAAGACTGGGTACATGCAGCAATGACAGAGAATCCAAATATTATATACATTGACATCTATCTGAAATGACTGAATAATACGTACTTTCTTGAACTTGTCCTTCACAGTTTTGTCATCAATGAAGGACTGATATCCAAAATACGAGAAAAGAATACACGATTTCAGAGATTTTTTTTGTTAATTTTGTACAAATTATACAAATCAAATGATCCTCAACCTACACTGTCACAAACAACCATACTCAACCCACATGGTTGTCACAAATACCCATCCTCAACCCACATGGTTGTCACAAATACCCATCCTCAACCCACATGGTTGTCACAAACATCCATACTCAATCCACATGTGTGTCACAAATACCCATCCTCAACCCACATGGTTGTCACAAAAAACCATCCTCAACCCACATGGATGTCACAAACATCCATACTCAATCCACATCCTCAACCCATATGGTTGTCACAAAAGCCCATCCTCAACCCACATGGATGTCACAAATACTTTACCTTAACCTGCATGGTTGTCACAAATACCCATCCTCAACCCACATGGTTGTCACAAACACCCATCCTCAATCCACATGGATGTCACAAACACCCATCCTCAATCCACATGGATGTCACAAACACCCATTCTCAACTCACATGGTTGTCATCACAAACACCCATACTCAATCCACATGTGGGTAACAAATACCCATCTTCAGCCCAAATGGTTGTCACAAATACCCATCAACCCACATGGTTGTCACAAATACTTTACCTCAACCTGCATGGTTGTCACAAATACCGATCCTCAACCCACATGGTTGTCACAAACACCCATCCTCAATCCACATGAATGTCACAAACACCCATCCTCAACTCACATGGTTGTCACAAACACCCATCCTCAACCCACATGGATGTCACAAACACCCATCCTCAACTCACATGGTTGTCACAAACACCCATCCTTAATCTACATGGATGTCACAAACACCCATCCTCAACCCACATGGATGTCACAAATACTTTACCTCAACCTGCATGGTTGTCACAAATACCCATCCTCAACCCACATGGTTGTCACAAACACCCATCCTCAATCCACGTGGATGTCACAAACACCCATCCTCAACTCACATGGTTGTCACAAACACCCATACTCAATCCACATGTGTGTAACAAATACCCTTCAGCCCAAATGGTTGTCACAAATAACCATCAACCCACATAATTGTCACAAACACCCATCCTCAATCCACATGGATGTCACAAATACCTATCCTAAACCCACATGATTGTCACAAATACCCATCCTAAAGCCACATGATTGTCACAAATACCTATCCTCAACCAACATGGTTGTCACAAACACCCATCCTCAATCCACATGGATGTCACAAACAGCCATCCTAAACCCACATGATTGTCACAAATACCCATCCTAAAGCCACATGATTGTCACAAATACCTATCCTCAACCAACATGGTTGTCACAAACACCCATCCTCAATCCACATGGATGTCACAAACAGCCATACTCAATCCACATGGTTGTCACAAACACCCATACCCAATCCACATGGTTGTCACAAACACCCATACCCAATCCACATGGTTGTCACAAATACCCATCCTAAACCCACATGATTGTCACAAATACCCATCCTAAAGCCACATGATTGTCACAAATACCTATCCTCAACCAACATGGTTGTCACAAACACCCATCCTCAATCCACATGGATGTCACAAACAGCCATCCTAAACCCACATGATTGTCACAAATACCCATCCTAAAGCCACATGATTGTCACAAATACCTATCCTCAACCAACATGGTTGTCACAAACACCCATCCTCAATCCACATGGTTGTCACAAACACCCATCCTCAATCCACATGGATGTCACAAACAGCCATACTCAATCCACATGGTTGTCACAAACACACATACTCAATCCACATGGTTGTCACAAACACCCATACTGAATCCACACGGTTGTCACAAACACCCATTAACCAACCACATGGTTGTCACAAACACCCATTAACCAACCACATGGTTGTCACAAACACCGATTAACCAACCATATGGTTGTCATAAACACCAATTAACCAACCACATGGTTGTCACAAACACCCATTAACCCACCACATGGTTGTCACAAACACCCATTAACCAACCACATGGTTGTCATAAACACCGATTAACCAACCACATGGTTGTCATAAACACCCATTAACCCACCACATGGTTGTCACAGACACCCATTAACCCACCACATGGTTGGCACAAACTATGGTACTTACTTCTCCAGGGCTTTAGCAATATCTTGTAGACCATTGGGACCCACATTATTTCTGTCCCACAATATTGTCTTCAATTTTGTATTGATCTGTAAGGCTTTCCCCATCATTCGTGCACCAATATCCCCCATCTGGTTACCCCTAAATTTGAAAGTTTGTCAAACGATTACAACAACAACAACAGCAAAAAAAGCAGCAGCAGCAGTAGAAGTTGCAGCACAAGCAGTTGCAACAACAGTAGCAACTGCAGCAGCAGGAATAGTAGTAGAAGCATCAGCAGTTGCAGCAGTAGCATTTGCAGTAGGAGTTGCAGCAACAGGAATAGTAGTAAAAGCAGCAGAAATTGTAGCAGTAGCATTTGCAGTAGGAGTTGCAGCAGCAGTAGTAGTAGTAGAAGCAGCAGCAGTTGCAGCAGCATTTGCAGTAGGAGTTGCAGCGAGAGGAATAGTAGTAAAAGCAGCAGAAGTTGTAGCAGTAGCATTTGCAGTAGGAGTTGTAGCAGCAGGAGTAGTAGTAGAAGCATCAGCAGTTCCAACAGCAGTAGCATTTGCAGTAGGAGTTGCAGCAACAGGAATAGTAGTAAAAGCAGCAGAAGTTGTAGCAGTAGCATTTGCAGTAGGAGTTGCAGCAGCAGGAGTAGTAGTAGAAGCAGCAGCAGTTGCAACAGTATTTGCAGTAAAAGTTGCAGCAGCAGGAATAGTATTAGAAGCAGCAGCAGTTGCAACAGTAGCATTTGCAGCAGCAGGAATAGTAGTAGAAGCAGCAGCAGTTGCAGCAGTATTTGCAGTAGGAGTTGCAGCAGCAGGAATAGTAGTAGAAGCATCAGCAGTTGCAGCAGTAGCATTTGCAGTAGGAGTTGCAGCAACATGAATAGTAGTAAAAGCAGCAGAAGTTGTAGCAGTAGCACTTGCAGTAGGAGTTGCAGCAGCAGGAATAGTAGTAGAAGCAGCAGCAGTTGCAACAGTATTTGCAGTAGGAGTTGCAGCAGCAGGAATAGTAGTAGAAGCAGCAGCAGTTGCAGCAGTATTTGCAGTAGGAGTTGCAGCGACAGGAATAGGAGTAGAAGCAGCAGCAATTGCAGCAGTGGCATTTGCAGTAGGAGTTGCAGCAGCAGGAATAGTAGTAGAAGCAGCAGCAGTTGCAACAGTAGCATTTGCAGTAGGAGTTGCAGCGACAGGAATAGTAGTAGAAGCAGCAGTGACAGGAATAGGAGTAGAAGCAGCAGCAGTTGCAGCAGTATTTGCAGTAGGAGTTGCAGCGACAGGAATAGTAGTAGAAGCAGCAGCAGTTGCAACAGTATTTGCAGTAGGAGTTGCAGCGACAGGAATAGTAGTAGTAGAAGCAGCAGCAGTTGCAACAGTAGTATTTGCAGGAGTTGCAGCGACAGGAATAGGAGTAGAAGCAGCAGCAGTTGCAGCAGTATTTGCAGTAGGAGTTGCAGCGACAGGAATAGTAGTAGAAGCAGCAGCAATAGCAGCAGCAATTGCAGCAGTGGCATTTGCAGTAGGAGTTGCAGCAGCAGGAATAGTAGTAGAAGCAGCAGCAGCAGTTGCAACAGTAGCATTTGCAGTAGGAGTTGCAGCGACAGGAATAGTAGTAGAAGCAGCAGCAGTTGCAACAGTATTTGCAGTAGGAGTTGCAGCGACAGGAATAGGAGTAGAAGCAGCAGCAGTTGCAGCAGTAGCATTTGCAGTAGGAGTTGCAGCAGTAGCATTTGCAGTAGGAGTTGCAGCAGCAGGAGTAGTAGTAGAAGCAGCAGCAGTTGCAACAGTAGCATTTGCAGTAGGAGCTGCAGCAGCAGGAATAGTAGTAGAAGCAGCAGAAGTTACAGCAGCAGCATTTGCAGTAGGAGTTGCAGCAGTAGCATTTGCAGTAGCAGCAACAAGAGTCAGATATAATTCATATAAAGTGCTACACATTTATGGAAATGTTAAGTTACATGATTGTGAGTGTTTTCTTGGTCAGTGAAGTTTCCTATCATGTCCACAGACTGTTTAAATGTGGGTTACTTTAACTATTTATAAATGAGAAAAGTGAGTTTGGCCTTACCTAATATCGAGGTATGTCAACTGCGTGTTGCTTCCAACAGCATCTAATACAGTTGCTGTGTCTGCTTTCAATTTTGAATCAGCCAATGATAGAGATTCCAATACCTTTGTAGAAATGAGTAAAAACTGAATTTTAGTACAAGACAAAAGACAAAAATAAGGATTTTTTCATGCATACAATAACTGACAGTAAACATTGACCATGTTGGTGCAAACACTATCGATAATCTTCAAACTTACCGAATCATCCTCCTGTAAGAGTGTAACAATAGTATCCAATACTTTGCCAAGTTGTCTATGAAGTACAAAATAGAAACATAAGGTGTCATGTAATGTTATGTGGTATGTCATGTAATATTATATGGTATGTCATGTAATGGCATGTGGTATGTCCTGTAATGGCATGCGGTATGTCATGTAATGTTATGTGGTATGTCATGTAATGTTATGTGGTATGTCATGTAATGTTATGTGGTATGTCATGTAATGTTATGTGGTATGACATGTAATGGCATGTGGTATGTCCTGTAATGGCATGCGGTATGTCATGTAATGTTATGTGGTATGTCATGTAATGGCATGTGGTATGTCATGTAATGGCATGTGGTATGTCATGTAATGGCATGTGGTATGTCATGTAATGGCATGTGGTATGTCATGTAATGGCATGTGGTATGTCATGTAATGTTATGGGGTATGTCATGTAATGTTAAGTGGTATGTCATGTAATGTTATGTCATGTAATGTTAGTTGGTATGTCTTGTAATGTTATGTCATGTAATGTTATGTGGTATGCCATGTAATGGCATGTGGTAAGTCATGTAATGTTTTGTGGTATGTCATGTAATGTTTTGTGGTATATGAGGTAATTTTATGTGGTATGGTATGTGAGATAATGTTATGTGAGATAATG